CCTTTTACTGTTCTGAACCCAGGATATAAATACAGTCAACAGGAGCTACTGTGGCAAAGATCTCACAATATGAAGCCGATCTGAGAATGAAGCCCATCCCCCACAATCATGTTCTTACATCCAGTGGCCAGGATCTACCCCACCCTCACAGGTTTCAAGCAAGACTTATTGAATTTCCCTTTGAATTGGGATTCTGTTATTTGAATGTCATGAAACATAGCACATATATTCACTTAGCACATATATTCACTTACCAATCAAATTTTTTTAAAAATTGCCTTTTGTTCTATGCTTGACGCTTCTCTTTCTAGCATAGGAGTTGGCAAACTGTGACCCCTGGGCCAAATCCAACCCACTTCCTGTTTTTGTAAATAAAGTTTTATTGGAACACAGCAACATCCATTTACTCACATGTCATCTGGGGCTACCTCCATATGGCCATGGCAGTTGTGACAGAAATTATATGATCCACAAAACCTAAAATATTTTTACCCAGTTCCTTACAGAAGAGGTTTGCTAAATATTGCTTTAGAGCAGATGTTAGCCATATGATTTTTCTGGTGCTGGGGACTTCTAAATCTATTTCCTGGGCCCCGCTCTTAACTGTGCACCTTAATTCTGCACATCTATTTCTACTTGAATACTCCACAAGCTCCTCAAATTCAGAATATCAAACAAACTGAACTCACCTTTTGTGGGATTCATGCACTGAGTAGCTCAGGTTCAGAGTTTCTTTGCTATATAGTATTCCATTACTTAGATGTATAAAAATTCATTTGCCTCCTATTCTTGCTGAATGGATACTTGAGCTGTTTCCAGGTTTCTTGCTATTAAAAAAAGTGCTATTATCCTTGTATGACTTCCTTCCTGTCCATGTGCAAATGTTTCTTTGTGTAGGTACCTAAGAGTGAAATTCATATACACATCTGCATCTTAACAAAATATTACCAAGCTCCAATATCAGTAGCATTAGCCTTGAATTTCTATTTCTCAACATCTTTAAAAATGCACAGTATATAAATTTTTAAAAATTTGTTTTTGACAACCAGTGGATATAAAAATAGTTCTCATTGGGGGTTTTAATTTGTATTTTTCTGGCTATTGATTAGATAGAAGTATTTTATATATGATTATGTAGCCACTCATATTTTTTTCTCATTTCAAAAATGACCATGTATGTTTTTGCTCATTTTTCTAGGGTTGTATGATTTTTTTTTTCTTTCTGGTCCTAGGACTAGAACACAGGTCCTCATTTACTCTAAACAAGCACTCTACCACTGAATTATGTCCCCAGCCCTGATGATATTTTTCTTACTGACCTATTAGAATTATTCATACATTCTGGATGTGAATTGTTTGTCAGTCATCTGTGTGACAAATATATCTTTTCAGTTTGTGACTTATCTTTTCACACTTTGCACAATTGATTTATAGCAGTTCTTAATTTTGGTATAATCACACTTCTCAATCTTTTCTTCTGTGGTTTGTATTTTTGTATCTGTTTAAGGAATCTTAACCTCTTCTAAGGTTATAAATAGTAATGGCCCAAACTCATCCAGCACTTCTTAAGTGTTTGGTATTCAATATTTCCCTATTACAGATAGACAATTAAAGGTTCAGAGAAATTAAGCAACTAGATCAAAGTCACCCAGCAACTAAGCAGTGGAGTCAGGATTTGAACACAGATAATCTACCTTCATTCTTTGCGCTATAACAACTGCCAAACTACTTTTTTTGTAGGGATTACCTCATAATGTTATTCTAAAAGATATCAAGTTTTGCTTTTCTCATTACAGTCATTAATCTGGAATCGGCTTTTGTATATGATGTGTGAATTTTGAATTAATCTTTACCTTAGACCCTTACACACTCAATATCTAATGTTGACTGATTCTTGCCAAAGATAATAATTTTTAAAAAAGAGTTTCTTTTATGTTGCAAGTGGAAGATTCCAAGCAAGGCTGGCAAATGTAATCCTGTTCTCCAAGTTCATGGTGAAGTCCCTCTTCAAATGATGTGGTACCAGAATAGAATTCTTTGAATTAATCAAGGAAGACAGACCTCCAGGTTGAGGCACTGAAGACAGGAGGTTGATCAAACACTTTTGGCATCCTGTAAAGTGAACAGGATATCCCCTGCAGAACCCTGCAAAAGGCAGAGGCCACCACAAAGCACAGAACAGTCTCCACAGCTCCGCCTACTCAGCTGGGACCAAAATAGTTCACATGGCATTCCTGCCGCCTCCTTGTGAACTGTGTGGGAAGGAACTCTGGTCACGAATTCTTCATTGAAACCACCCACATACACTAGGACAGCAGCAGCAATGGCAATGGCATCTTGGAATCCGTTGAACAACATGTCGTAGGCTGTACAATCATATCTTTCTGCAGCTAATACTGTCTTTCCAAATTAGAGGCTTTAAACAAATATAAAGATACTGAAAATTATTTTTTTTTAAGTTAAAAATAAAGTGAGAACGAGTTGAGTGCAGAGAATCGGGGCCGGATCATAAAGGGTCTCATGCTAGGTTTAAAATGTGAACTTTATTGTGTCAATGGTGAGAATGTGAGGCATTTTAAACTGGAAAGGAACACGATCTGTTTAGTATTTTGCTTGTTAAAGACGGCAAGACTACTTCCAATCTGGCTGATAGAAAATACTTAAAAAAAGTGATCATGCTAGGATCTGCTGGTTCCCTCTGCCATCCCCAGTCTACCTTGTTATCCCTGGCTGGCAAAGCTCACCTCCTACTCTTGAGACTGGAAAAGCCCAAGAATCACTTTCCCAGTCTCCTTGCAGTATGATACAGGCATGTGATGCGTTCTGGCCAATGGGATCTGGGGGTGGGGCAGCCTGGGGGTGGTTCTGGGGAAAGTTTTCCTTTTTAAAAGAACCAGGCCGATGTCAAAAAGCTCTACAGGGCAGAAAAATCCAGTGGCAACGTCATAGAACCATATAGAGAAACATTCCCTTTAAGATAACAGATGCTTATGGCTTAAGCCGCTTTGATTTGGATCTTCTGTTGCTTGCACTCTACAGCATAGGAAGAGAAAGAAGCATTTAATAAAGTCACCAAGATGAATTAATATGACATTATTTTTAAAAAATACAGCTTTTCCTATAGATATTTATTTTAAATAAATTGGCCTCTTTAAGTTAGGAATAGATAACCATCATCATTAACTGTTCACAGAACATTTTGGTTGCTCAAGCAAGAAACTACACAACTTCTGAGATGATTCGTCTTATTTTTTTTCTGTATCTGAAAAGATTGCTTTTCATTTTCTACTCTTATTTGCACATTTCCCTTAAGAAGTAGTCAGGAGGGCAGCGGGGAGGCACACTCATGCATTGCTGGTGGGACTGCTAATTGGTGCAACCAATCTGGAAAGGAGTATGGAGATTCCTTTAAAAAACTTGGAATGGAACCACCATTTGACCCAGCTATCTCACTCCTTGATCTATACCCAAAGGACTTAAAAACAGCATACTACACTGACAACCACATCAAGGTTATAGCATCACAGTCTACAATAGCCAAACTGTGGAACAAACTTAGATGCCCTTCAATAGATAAATGGATAAAGAAACTGTGGTATATATGCACAATGGAATATTACTCAGCAATAAAAGAGAATGAAATTTTGGCATTTGCAGGTAAATGGATGGAGTTGGAGAATATCATGGTAAGCAAAGTCAGCCAATCCCCAAACATCAAAGGCTGAATGTTTTCTCTGATAAATGGATGCTAATCCATAATGGAGGTGGGGTGCATAAGATGAGTGGAGGAACTTTGGGCAGAGGGGAGGAAGCAAGGGGATAAGATAGTGGAAGGAGACAGACATCATTATCCTAGGTACATGTATGATTGCACGAATAGTGCGACCCTACTTCGTGAACAGAGAAGTGAAAACTTGTGCTCTGTTTGTGTACAATGAATCGAAGAGCATTCTGCTGTCATGTATAACTGATTAGAAAAAAAAGAAAAGAAAGAAATAATCAGGATCTTCACTATTCCCTGCTAGGCAGCAATTCTCTTTTCTCCAATGTCTCTTTCATGAAAGAGCACATTATTTAAGCACATTATTTAGGAAGAATCTCAGCATTGTGTAAGTGAAAGAATTCCAAGTCCCAGCGTTTCAGGCAACAATATAAAATCATGTTATTCTTAAAGCGCGAGATACCTTACTGATCACTGTAGTAATACAATTTGAAAACAGGTAAAACCAGAACATCTGGTTAGAGCTCTTAACATCATTCATTTCTCATTTCACATTTCTCTCCTGTCCTAAAATTTTATATGCAGTAGCTGGCAACTCTTCAGCCATTCCTTCTGGTCCTTTCTGAAGGAAACCCCATTCAGTCATCAAATACACGTTGGGATCCTCCAGCTACCACTGGGGATTCCGTCCTTCATTCCAGGAACAGTTAGTAAGCATCTCTCAAGTGCTGGCACCAAGATTATTTGCTGGGATCTTTATTCGCACATCGTTCACAGTATTTGGGGGAACTCTTGACTCTTCCATATGCAAACAATTTTAAATCCAAATATGAGGATCTCTGCACACGTAACAGAGAGCTGAAATTGCCCGGTACAGTCCGGGAAGGTAGCTCTTTGGATTATTAGCCAATGGCTCCTTGCTCTTCCATTCACTAGGACACAGATTTGCAGGAGGGCATTGGAGACCGTCTAATCTCGCCCCGACAGGGGTGGGCAGCGGGCGCGGACTGGCCTGGGCTCTGCCCCGCAGCGTGGCGCTGGCCCCGGCGGGGTTGGAGGCCGCAGAGCGCGGGGCTCCGGCGGGGCGCGGGGAGGAGACGGCCGCGCGGGGCAGAGCTGGCGGAAGGGCGCCGCACCTGCCGCGCGCGGGGGCGGGAGCCAGGTGGCCGGCGCGTCCGCCTCGCAGGGCCACAGGGCAGGAAGTGGCTTCAGAGCGGCCTGCTGGCGGGGCGGCCCCGCGGGGAGACTGCCGCAGCCCGAGCGCCAGGAGCGAGACCTAATGGCGGCGCTGGCGCCCGCGGGCCCCGGGGACGCCGCCTCGGCCGCCCTGGACGAGCTGTCCCGCAACTTCACGTACTGGGCGCCGGACGCGGGCAATGGCTCGATGTCGGGCGAGTGGTACCGCAGGAACCAGGTAAGGGCCGCCGCCCGCGCCGCCCGGGGGGACCTGGGCGGGGCCGCGGCGCCCGCCATCCGCGCAGGCCGGGCGGGGACTGCGGGCGCCCTCCTGCCCACTCTCTGAGCGACGCCAGCTGTGCCAGAGGGAAGAGCTGACACGCGGCGATGCCACACCTGACTTGACTGCCTCTCATTTGGCAGAGAGGGGGACCCCCAGGCTTCTGGACGCCAGCCACTGGGAGAGGACACCCAGTATGTGGCCTTGACCTCTGCGGCCCATTGCAGGGCCTCAGGTCCCCAGCCCGAGTGCACAGCCTGCTCCCAGAAGGAGACCCAGGGTGTGGGTGAATCCTCACTCGTTTTCACCCCAGGACCCTTGTACAGTTAAAAAAAAAAAAAGACATCGGGTTCTTAGAAGTAGGAAACTCATTAAGAGCATCCGAATGTCACCTCTACGCAGATGCTCTGGTGGTGTGTCCCCAAGTGCCTAGTGCTTCCATTTCCGTGTGAGGGACACTGATATTCTCAGGTCGTAGTTGCATGGCTCTTTCATTCTTCATCAACGACCCTTTGGGAAACATCAACATAAACAACGCCTGTTTACGCTGGAAATGTACACTTAACAATACCAAAGGGGATTGGACCTGCCTTTTTTTTTGGCTAGGTCTAAAATTGAAAAAAAAAAAAAAAAAAAACAGAAAGAAAGAAAGAACGCAATCTCTGGTGAGCCTTGCCTCTTGCAGCGTTTATATTCTTTTCCGTGGGCACAAGAGAGCTTGATGTAGTGGTTTCCAAGCTTCCTCTTGTTTTCCTAAGTGCTGCTTTGTTCTTATTCTTTAACAAAAACATGAATCTTTTTATTTTACAAATTTTAACCATTAAATATTTGTTGTTATTGGAGTCAGTGTGGGATTTTAACCAATATCAAAGATCCAGGTTCCTTTTATGCTTGAACAGTGTCTTGGATGTTTGTTTCTAAAGTCAGATGATAATTTATTTATATAAAGATAAATACTCGTGTCCACGTTATAGGTTTTCAACAGATGGAAGAGTATTGTTTCAAGTCTGCTTTGCCACAAGAGAGATTAAAATGGGAAATCTGAGGGGACTGAAGACTTATTCTGCCCCCACCCCTTCCTTTTACCCACAGGAGTTACAAGGAAAAGAATCACTTTTATGGAAACTTCTTGGACTATATCTTTTATACTATGCTTATACTAGAAGCATTTCCAGTGAAAGTTTAGGAATGAATTGCCCACTCTTAGTAAAGAAATTAGAGGTTTAATAGATGTGACCTACCATGGCATCATCCAGAGCAGAAGAAAACATTGTTTTCACAGTGGAACCATCTGCAGTCATTAGTTTTCTTTAACATTTCCTGGAATTCTTGATTGTCTTGGCTTCTGTTACTTGAACACAGATTGTCATGTGACATTAAATGTGAGGCAGATAATGTTTGCAAAGCTTAACTTGCCTTTGACAGTTCATATTTGTACATGTTAGAAGGGGTGTGACCTCTATATGCTAAATGAAATTTTATCTAAACTGTTGTTGATTTGAAATAAGACTGTATCAGCTTTTTCCATTCTGTGCACATTTAGACTGTCTTAGATCACTGTTGTATTTTTTTTCCTTTCAGTAATTGCTGAAAGGATAATTACTTTCATGTTAAGCAAGAGTAAAAATTGATTTTTAAAAATCCATTCAACACACATTTTATTGAGTGCCCCTACTGTTAACCAGGCCAGTAAAAATTAAATGGAGTCCAATTTTTCTTTCTTTTCTTTTTTGACACTAACTGATTAGAGATGACTGAACATGGGTGCAGCTCCAGAATAACAAAGTGTGAGATACAAATTTCTGACGCTGGCGATCACAATTAGCCTTGGTTGCTGGCTAGCCAAGATTTAGTGCTCCTTGTTAGGGTTCATTGATTTTATCAAATCTGAAATATTTGCACAGTATCTGTTTGCTGATAGTCCAGCTTTCTGTACCTTTCACAGTGATTACCATCATATCTGCTTAATTAATCTTACTCTATTGAGAAAGACTGATACCCCATGAAATGCCTGCATGTGGCACATGGCTATTTAACAGTAGCTGCTTAGAAACAATGTTGTCTAAGGCAGAAACATGAGTGCTTCTAGAGGAGGAAATCTCAAAGCATGTAGAAAGTGCTAACTCAGTGGGGAAGATGTCTTGGGGAGCCAGGAAGGTGAAGTAGTCATCCTTTTGCATGCAAGAGCCTGTCTACTTGGTAAAAACCCTGCTATAGAAGCATGGATGTGACACAGTTCTGCACAGTTGGATCCACAAGTTTTCAGTACAAAAGGATAGTGTTCCTAAGATGTTTATTGAACTCACTGTGCTGTACAAAGTACTGTGGGGTCATTCAGTATAGTTCAAGATCCAAAATTTTCCTTCCATGAATGTTGTTAGGTGTTTGGGAAGATGTAAATAACTCCAAGACAAAGAGTATGTGGTGGCATATGTAAATGATATGAAGTCCTGCAGCAGGGGCCATTCTGGATGTGTTCATGGAGAGTGGTGTTGGAGCTAAAGGAAAGGCAGGGTTTTGTGATAGGAATGCACAGGTGGAGAAAGCCTAGAGACCAAAGAGTGGGCCCTGGTGACCTGGGCAGGTGCCTTTCTGTGCATTTTCATATGTAGAGGGCAATTCGTTGGTTGTTGTGGCTGCAGCAGAAGACAGAAATGGACTGCAAGGTTGAAGTAGGGCTTGGGACCTTGGCTGTGGTCCTGGATTGCCATAAAGGACTAGCGAGGAAGTTTAGACTTTATCTTATAGACCATCAGGAGCCCTTGAAGTTTTTTGAGCAGAGTGTGCAGGAATCAAAGCAAATAAAATAAAATAAATTTAAATTAGGCTTAGCAGCATGCAGAGCCCTCCAATAGCCAGCTGTGGACTAAGTCCAGTGCATAGATGTGCTTATTTTACCTGAAGAGAAGTTTTAAAATGTTTAATATATTGTCAACATTTGCAACTGAGATTAACCATAAAATTTCAGGTTTCCATCATCTCCTTCACTATTAAGACATTCTCGCAATTCAGAGCCCTCTTTCCTACAGGATCACCATGCATGGGAGCAGAGTGGCCCAACCCCCTCCACTGAGGCCCCTGTCTTTGCTCTCATTTCTTTTACCTACTGACTCCTGTGGGCATCTAGTTTGTAACCAGTAAGCATTGGCAGGGTTTTGTGATAGGAATGCACAGGTGGAGAAAGCCTAGCCACCAAGGAGTAGCCCTGCTGAGGCTGTTGTCTTTACTGTTAATTAGCTGAGTGTCCCTTAGCAAGTCATTTTCTTTCTCTGGATCTCAGTTTCCTTCCCAATAAAGTTAGGTTTGGAGTAGAAGCGCTCCAGGCTCCTCATGCTACGTGGTTGAACAAATAAAGACTAATCCAGAGAGGTAGTAGAGGGACCCGGCAGAAGAGGAGGAAGGCAGGAAATACTGCAAAGGGGAATTTTGTTGTTGGTTCTTCAAGTTCATGCATAGTGCTAAGTGGCTCCATTCATAAGGACATTGTCAGAAAGATTTATTTTGCACCTGATGAGACGAAAACCCAAAATTTTTATGTCCTTTATTTGAACTTTTGATTCTCAATAGCTTGATTTTTTTTTTTAAAGTCAACAGATTTAAATGAAAATTGATACCAGTTGGCAGGGAAGAGGCAAAGAAGAGACTGACATTTGTTATGCATTTACTATGTGACACTTTATAGCTATTATCTAGTTTGAGCTCCCAACAACTTCGTAAGGTATATAGTATCCTTACTGTTCATGTAGGGAAGCTTGTGTTGAATAACTTGCCCCAAGGTCTTTTATCAAGTAGGTTTAATGGCAAAGATATTTTTATTCCATGCCCAAAGGCCATTGCTAGAGATTGGGGCTTGAAAAGAATGTGGTGGGAGAGTAAATGCAAAGATAGAAATGTACATAGTTTTTCTTGCTGTACTTAAGAAAAATCAGCGATTTTATGTTGCCCTTATGTTGATTTTGCTTTGATATCATGTCTTTTCTGCCAGTAACTGCATCTGACTATCTTTTAAAGGAAGAAGAGCACCAAATTTTTCAGATAATCAAAGGGCTTGATAGAATTTGCTGGTCATTTTCATTTTTTTCCTAAGAAAAAATCCTTTTTTAAAAATTTTGTTTATACTTATCGATTTCTCGACCTTCCTTATACATCTAATGTATTATTTTTTCCTTTACCGGGAATGAATGTCTAAGGCATCAGGAAGGAAGAAAGAGGCAGGTTACCGCAAAGCAACTGTATCCAAGCTATGTTTTAAAAAAAAAGAAAAGAGCAACATTTTGTTAGAGAAACTGAGTTTTAGTGCACTTATGAATTTGGCAGAATAGGTGTCTATATTTAAATCTACCTGACACTCTCCTTATGGCTTGGTTTTTACTGACTAGTTGTAATATTTGCACTGATAAACTCAGCCAAATCCAGGCTATGGGAAATGCCAGTTTACAGGTTGCAAGGTCTGGTTTATTCAGAAATTATTTTTACAAGAGGAAATGGAGAGAGAAAAAAGCTATAGATTAAAATAGACTTGAAAGACATAGTAGGGGGGAAAAATGCCAACATGGAGCTACAGTCTTTAAGGTTACATACTTGGGTGGTAAACGTATAAGGAAAAGGAAGAAAGGATTGTCAAAGTCACGCCAGTGGTTCTTTGGCAGCAGGTAGGTCACCGTGATTGGGTAGGGCAGAGAGGCTTGGTGGGAACCTAATTTTCCTTTCTTGATCTGAATAGTTGTTATAAGGGTGTTTGCCTTGTAAGAATTTGTTGTAGTAATTTATCCATCTAGATAATTCTCTTTGCAGTTATCTATTCTACATTTGTAAAGGTTTAAGAACATTAGCATTACTATGACTATTCAACTTGCATATCTCATCTAGATAGTTTGAAAAATGTATGCCTTTTGTTTGCTTAGAAGCATTATTTAAACAATTTCTTTTAAATATGTTGCCTGATTGTTCCATTTGGC